AAAATGCTAGAAATACACAAGATCAACACCTACGATGACGAATTGGTGGGACCTGCAAAATAGAATGGAGACACTGCAGGGAAACAGGACAACAAACATGCATCCAACAGTCCCCCAAGTCATTCTTCTAGGTAATAGGGCTGGCAAAAGTCTGTAGAGGCCTACCGTCTTCACCCAAATAGACCTCCTTCCCGGTAATTATCGCCGTATCTGGGCTGAAAGTTGTTCCATATACAGCTATAATGACCGGGCATTCTATTCGGGTGAAGACGGTGGTCTTAAAAACTGTTCTCAGCCCTGCTGGACCAGTTAGGCTTGCATTCGGGTACACCTCAAACCTGACAAAGTCAACAGCCAAGCCGAGTCCAACCCAGTCAGACCAAGAGTCAAAGATGGATGAGAAGCAGATCTGGAGGTCCAGAAAAAGTTTCAAGATCAATCCAGGACCTACTCTCTCTCTCTCTCTCTCTCTCTCTCTCTCTCTCTCTCTCTCTCACACACACACACACACACAAAAAAAAAAAAAAAAAAAAAATCAGTATTGAGTATGTCTGTCTTTTGTTTGTTGCTTGTCCTTTTTGCATTTTTTTCAAAGTAACTTCGTGTGTGTCTGAGTGAGCACATTTAAACCACCAGTACTTGGCCCAGCTATCGGCCGCGGCGCTTTCCTGTTAACGCGCCACGCCTCTAGGGCTTCGGGGTACCGGACCTCAATGGCTGGAAGCGCCAGCCAAAACAATTTCGAAACGGTACCCCGGCGCTTCGGCAAAAATCGGCGCGCAGGGGCATTCCAGGCTCGGCATCGATAGCTGGGCCAAGTACTGGTGGTTTAAGCAGTAGTGCTAAAGAGTAGGTGGTCCATTGTTTGGAGTGGCTACAGGGCTCTCAGTGGAACCATTCTATTTTTGGTGGTCTGTGTCGTGCATATGGTCTATGGGTGACGAGTCTGATGACAGATGTCCGTCGGAGTGACTCCCATGCTAATCTTCCTTCTCTGTATTGTTCCAATTTTGAAGGATGCCCCGCGATGTCTGGCACGCAGCAGTCGTTGAAGGGGCGCAGCAGACGTATCGACACAGGCACGACTTCCTTCCCTGCCTGTCAATTGTCTGCGCTAACACAGTTGTTGAGGGGAGAAGCAGATGTGTGAGCGCATTCATTTGGGTTCGGTGAATACTCGGAGATAGTCGGAGGTTCCTGCCGTAGCTAGATTTTGCCTTTTCTTCGAACACATTGCTGCTCAAAGAGAAAAATATAGTGACATACAGAGTCACATACCCCTTCGTAAAGGAATTTGCGTCCACTGCTTGTTTTTCTCTTCATTGATGTGAAGGAAGTAGTCTGTCTACTAGACCTAAAACTGGGACAGAGGCTTGAGCATGGATGTGGCTGCTACGGGGTTCCCCGTAATACTATAATGACAATAAAAAAGGCCTGAAAGGCCGTCCTGTCCAGATTCGGCAGGTAATTGGCCTTTAAAAAAAAAAAAAAAAAAGACTGGGACAAGACAAAAAAAATTAGGATAGCCCAAAAAGTTCAAAAACAAAAACAAAAAAGAAAAAGATTAGCATGGCCCCTTCCCAGGATGATGCACAACAGAGCAACAAATGGGTCACAGCTGGGGTTATCTTTCTTTCTTTTTTTTTTTTTTTTTTTTTTTTTTTGCTGGGGTTATCTTGTGTGTGTGTACAAGAAAAAGCCGAAGGATCCGAAAAAGACCGCGAACCTGCTGTTTCTCAATCCCCAGCAGGGCCAGCACACCGCTGAATCCCCCTGAAATTTCACACCAACATTAGTGCCAAGGGCCACGGCCGCATTAAACCACCAGTACTTGGCCCTGCTATCGGCCGCAGGAAAAAAAAAAATAAATAGAGTAGAAACGTTTCTAATCGGATGAATTTGGGCGCTCCTGTAGTGACCCATACATTTCCTAAATTCGTGGCTTGTTAACGGGCACCACTTTAGGAGGTACTGGTGGTTTAACTGCAAGCCTTAGGCAGAGTACATTTTGCACTCCGCCACTCTAATGTTCTCACACAGGAAAAAAGTGCGATTGTTATGGAGGTATCTGTGGCCTGAGACTTGCACTTTGTTCAAATACACTGACCGCATCCACTGTGCGATTGTTATACCATTATCTGGTCTGATAATTACACCTGGTTCAAATACAGTGACCCCATGTTATATACACCAAGGTGGCGGTGACTAGTTGTCACTGCTGCTCACGCTGCACACCCGTGGTCCATCCTCCATCTGGAAAGGCAGCATACCTCGCGGCTCTGATAGCTTCACTCACATGTTTCAGCTTGCTTAGGCTGCTGCACAAGACTGCAGATCCACCACCTTTGAGGAGAGAAGTCGTCGATCGAATTGTCGCTCAAATTGCCGATCAAATTGGCGCCCAAGATGTCTGACTCGCATTCTGGCTTGTCATCTGCAGCTCACCGCTTCACACAACCACCCCACTTATCCTTCACGCAAATTAGGGCATCGTTGCACCGTCACCGAATGTGAAAATGGCGTATGTATCTCAACAAATTCTACAGCAAGATACAGTCAGTCGCCCCTTCGAGATTTATTAGCGAGTACCGCAACGGGGCCCTTTGGCATGTGTGCATTTATGTCTCGGTAATTCACAGGCTATGCCTGCACATCCCAGAACAGCTCAAGCACCTGATTACTGTCTGCAGATCCAAGTGCCTTTTGACAGAAGCATTTGTCATGTACTTGGACCAGATTGCAGAAGCAATACAGAGGGGGCATGTCAGCAAAAACATCCAAGGACCCAAAATAACACATACAAATAGACCGAGGACCGGAGGCGACGTATCGGTACCCTAGAGTTCACTACACTCCTTGTTTGATTACGACGGAAATCGAATTTAAGCGAGACCCAAGTCCATCCGGACAGGGCCGACCCATACGGAGAAGATGGAAAGACGATGTACTTCCGAGTCAGCAGCACTGCCAGAGCCAGGCAATCACTGCAGACAGGACCCATGTCCATCTTCGTGATCTTCCAGATCCTGATCCACCCCATGCGCATCTCACACTTCAAAGGGACATATATACTGAAAAGGGGGGCGGGAGGAGGCGGGAGGGGGTGAACACACCTCAGATTCCCTCCCTCAAGTCCTAACAGCTGCACAGGCGATCTCTGCCACGCATCGATCTTTGATCTGCTCCCCCCTACCTTCCTCGCTCTCTTCTACCACCCCCCCC